AACCCTAAACCCTAAACCCATGAGGTGCGCTGAGTCTGCAGTCTCTGGCTTTGCAGGCTCCTCCCCTGCAGCATTGCGGCGGTTGGCAAAGGATGAGGCGAGACATGCCTCTTAGGGTTCCCTTAAGGGTCCTTTAAGGATTCTTTGAAAGGGTTTAGGGTTTCGGGTTTAGGGTTTAGGGTTTAGGGTTTAGGGATTCTTTAAAGGTTCCATTATGGTACCGTTTACGGGGGGTTCCACTTTATAGATTTCTTCCGGGGGTCTGGGATGCCGCTGTTCGGATCATCTCAGGCAGTCGTGGTGTTGTCGGTTTCTCGACCCATCTGCACGGATCTTTGCGTCTCACGAACCCTAAGACCCGAAGCCCGACCCCTAAAATGCAGAGGGCTTTTGAGGTTTAGGGTTTGGGTTTAGGGTTTAGGGTTTAGGGTTTAGGGTTTAGGGTTTAGGGTTTAGGGCTTGGGGTTTAGGTATTTTTGTCAGGTGGATACCAAGTTGACGGAGTACCTGGCATCATCGCCACACTGCCAACTCGAGTTCTGCAGGCAATCCGCGCGCCGCTTGTTTTTGAGCCCTTGGCTGCGGTCGTCGAAATCCTAAAGCCCTAAACCCTAAGCCCTAAACCCTAAACCCTAAACCCTGAACCCTTACAGGAACCCTAAAGCCTATATAGTGGCGCAGAGCACTTTGTCCTCATTCCTTCCGTGCCCTGTGCTCGCCAGGTTAAATCAGGGCTGGTCTTGCTGCCATGATTTCAGCTTCCAGTTCAAAGAATGCCTGAGCGTTTGGGAAGTTCGGAAGAATGCCTGTCGGAAACTCCCTAAACCCTAAACCCTAAACCCTAAACCCTAAACCCTAAACCCTAAACCCTAAACCCTACACCGCCGCGGCAGGTACCAATTCCGGCACGTCGACGCTGCCATGGAGACAAAGTGCCTGGAGGTTGGGATCAGAGTGTGGCCTCTGCGACTGACGTGGGGCCAAGAGAACCCAATACACCTTCATTAAGGAATATACCTTAAATTATAGCGGCCTTAATATTATTATTTAAGGTATATTCCTTTATTGAGGGGTAGGGAAGCTTTAGCAAGGGACCGCAGTAAGTAATACCATTTGCTGGAAGTTATGGTACCTTAAAAAAACCCTTGTAGTTAGTCTTCCTTATTAAAAGCCTGTTCCTTCCACGCAGGACTCAGCAAGCTACCCCAGTTATACTTAAGAAGTCCTGCATTCCGAGTTTTGGCCACACAGATGTCCATCGTGAACGGAACCCTAAACCCTAAACCCTAAACCCTAAACCCTAAACCCTAAACCCACACAGATGTCCATCGTGAACGGAAAGCTCATGGTCAAGTTCGAGCCCACAAATCACGATCGCGGATGGCCCGACTCTCAGCGAAAGAGAGGCCAAACCTGAGTGCCCAGGTACTTTAGGGTTTAGGGTTTAGGAGTTTAGGGTTTAGGGTTTAGGGTTTAGGGTTTAGGGTTTAGGGTTTAGGAGTACTCCGTTTCGTATCCATCTGGCCGCAATGGCTCACCAGTACACGACCAAGATTTTCAAGTTGGCACTGGCCCCTTTTTTCAAGTCTATCAGCTGGGAAGGTTTAGCATCGAGAGTTTGGTGTTGGAGGGATTGTTCTCATCACTGCAAGCTTCGCTGTAAATAGCTCCACGAGTGCTCCAATGGAGCTTCGCCAACATCATGGTGGCACTGACCTTTGACGATGGTGAGGAGTATGGGCTGGTCGCTCAGTTTTTTGCCGGTCGTTTCTGCAGCCAAATTCCGTCAGCAGACAAATCGTTTCGGATACATCGCAGACACACGACCTCTCTTTGCATAGGAGACAGTGCTTAAAAGAGAACGAGAAGTTCTTGCAACAGGATGTTGTCCCAGAGACTCCAAAACCCCTTCATTAAGGAACATATCTTAAATTCTAATCAGATCCTTACTATGTTTTAAGGTAGGAAGGGTTCCTTTAAAGGGATCCATAAGGGAATTCGGGGCATATATCTGAAACTATAATCGGATCTATTCCTTAATTGCGGACCCTAAACCCTAAACCCT